CTGAGTGTATATCCACACCGGGCAAGCTTGGAAAATATGCCTGGCCACAGTGGGATTCGAACCTACGACCTGTGGAATACTAGCCCAATGCTCTGCCAACTGAGCCACGCGGTCAGGTCGGTTCAAGTATGTGATATTTCGAAACAGAATCTAGTTCCTTCGATATCAATGTTATCTATAGTAATCATGATTTTTTCTGTGTTGGTGTAATGTACTCAGGTGAATATGATGCTTGTGATGTTACTCTGAGTGTATATACACACCGGGCAAGCTTGAAAAATATGCCTGGCCACGGTGGGAACCGGTGTGGATATACACTCAGAGTAACATCACAAGCATCATATTCACCTGAGTACATTACACCAACACTGAAAAAAACCCACTCCTATTAAAATTATAATGGTTAACCTAGAAATATTATTCCTGGTTACATTTCCTGTATATTTTAGTTCATTTGACCACGCAGGACGTCCTGATTAACTTAACCAGACCGTGAGACTTTAACCATGGGCTCTGGTAATATATCGGGTATCCAGGGGGTTGAAATACCGGCCGTCGTGGCGACTGAGAACATTTTTTGAAATGATAAAGTAATTGTGACGTTGGAAAAAAATATTTTTTTTTGAAAATTCCGAGGTTATTGCGACCAGGATTAAACATAATGAAGTTTGAGACGTTCTCTGGTAAACTATATTTATTAAAAAAACGAGCTGCCAGTCTGCAGCCTTCAACAGGTTAACACTAGTGAATAAAATTATTACGCCACGGTTTACAATTACAACTACATCAACAGCTACGGTTTACAATTACATTTACATTTACAGCTACGGTTTACAATTACATTTACATTTACAATGTACAACACAAAATTGAGAGTATTATGTTCTACTTTTTTAGCAAAAAAAACCGATATTGTTCTGGCAAATGTTTTGCATTATTGTCTGCATTGTTGGTGATTGCAGTATTAAAATATCTCAAGTATTCCAATCTGTTTTGCATATAATTTCCCAACATATTAAACAACTGTTTTTTATACGTTTGCGATGTTACTCTGAGTGCATATCCACACCGGGCGAGCTTGAAAAATATGCCCGGCCACGGTGGGATTCGAACCTACGACCTTTGGAATACTAGCCCAATGCTCTTCCAACTGAGCTACGCGGTCAGGACGGTTCGAGTAAGTGATATTTCGGAACAGTATCTAGTTCCTTCAATACCAATGTGTTCTAGTAATATGATATTTTTTTTCTGTGTTGGTGTTGTGTACTCAGGTGAATAATACGTTTGCGATGTTACTCTGAGTGCATATCCACACCGTGCGAGCTTGAAAAATATGCCCGGCCACGGTGGGATTCGAACCTACGACCTTTGGAATACTAGCACAGAAAAAAAAATTCATATTACTAGAACACATTGGTATTGAAGGAACTAGATACTGTTCCGAAATATCACTTACTCGAACCGTCCTGACCGCGTAGCTCAGTTGGAAGAGCATTGGGCTAGTATTCCAAAGGTCTTAGGTTCGAATCCCACCGTGGCCGGGCATATTTTTCAAGCTCGCCCGGTGTGGATATGCACTCAGAATAACATCGCAAACGTATTATTCACCTGAGTACACAACACCAACACAGAAAAACGACCTGATGTTAAATTTGGCGACCAAATTGATTGACTAATTGAAGCACTTATTTAATCACGATTGAAAGATGCAGCTAAAGCTGATATAGGGTCCTGTTATTCGTTATCCTGTACGTTCTGATTACATTACCCATAGGACTGTTCGGTATACCGATATACCGAAAATATCGGTATTAAATCAATATCGGTATATCGATACCGGATATTCAACCATACCGATATACCGAAATTTCCGATATTACGGAATTTTTCGGCAGTATCGTGTTAAAGTTACCAACTATAAGCCGAAACCATAACCTTTATTTTACTACTGAATGGCAATTCAGAGAACTTTCTACTGCAATGATTTAGAATTTCCACTTCGGTGATATTTTACACTGAGTACGTGTCGTTCGAAACGTGTTCGAAACAGCTTCGAAATTATCGTTTTCCCTTTTAGAATTACTTAAAATTTCCTTCAAATTCCCATTAAAGAATTTTCCTTTATAATTATCAACGGAAAACCGGTATACTGATAATATCGGTATAATTTTTTCGGTATACCGGCCGATACCGGAAATTTCTCATACCGAGCATTCCTAGTTACCCAGACTATGGTAAAATAACCAATAGATTTCTAAATTAATCCGGAAATTTACCAGAGTGTTTTTTACAGTGCATGTTTCTCCGAGTTAGACAGTTTAATATTAAAACATACCGACACTTGATCATTCCTTTTTAGCATCCAACGCGGACCACAAAGAATTACAAAAGGCTCTTTTGCTTGTCAAGGTATAAAAATGAACCGTTCTCCTGGATTTAATCATGTATTGTATCTTATTTGCTGCTATACAAATGCGAAATAGCGGTGTCACTGATATTGTTGGGGGTTTCTTTCAGGATGCCACGAAGGCTGTAGATAACGCAATTAAAGATTACGAGAAGCAATCGGTAAGATATACTGTGTTTATATATTCTCGAGGTCAAGTGCTCTGTTAGAAAATTGATTTTCATATTTTTCACATTCTACTCGGGCAAATTGTTCCCTTTGGTACCCCC